ATGACTATTCTCGGCCTTATATTGCCAGTATAATGAAGGCCACGTCCGCTGCAGGGGCGAAGGTGCTTAAGCCTGTGTCTCCGAGTGCCAAGCAAGTGAAATCAAAGCTCGATCGCCTTAGCAAAGATAAGAATGATAAAGAAGCTGAAGAGGAGGCCCCCAGAGAGACCATAAAGGGGGGTAAGCAGCTTGATGCCAAGGGCAAAGGCGTAGCTGAAGAGCCCCTGGAGAAGAGAAAGTTGGGCCCAGGTGGTGGGTCTTCAAGTTTTGGGACAACGGTGTCCTACACACAGAAGGGCGTTACTAAGCAGCCGAAGCTTCTCCAATCTTCAATTGACGCTACAGTGGTGGCGCAATCAAGGAAGATAATAGAGGAGGCGGCGAAGGCCTCCGAGGCCGCAAAAAAGGGGCCAGTGGAGTGGATCCCAGGGAAGTCTGGGAATTTCCTGGGAGGTAGGGAGGACAAAATAGCCGCTGCTCTTATAGAGATACTCCCCCCGAGGTGAGAAGTGCCACCGATGGGTTCAACAAATTCTGGACGGAGAGATGGTAGAATTACGTTACCACCTGCGACGCAGTGGACCTCACTGCCACTTTGGTGAGCCAAACCGTCAGGGCTTTTGGCGGGGCACTTGAATGCCAAAAAGTCCTTTCTGACATTCAGTCAAGGAACCGAGACTTGCGAGATGAACTGGCAGCAGGTAAAGCTAAACTGGAACAAAAAAAAGAGGCAAACATTGAGCTACAAATCCAGAGAGATGTAGACGATGCCAAGCGAGATTCCCTCCTAGTTGAAACTGACGCTTTGAAGAAGGAGATGCACGAGTCTCAGTGCGAGGTGGCAGCTCTAATCAAGGTGGAACTATATGATAACCACTAAAAAGTCGCTGCAGAGGCCTTGGAGAAGGCGAACTTGACACTCGCCGATTGCAAGGAGGCCAATAAGTTCATGGAGAACGAGCTGAAGTGGTATGCCTCCGAAGTGAAAAAATATGAGGCGGATGTTCTTGAAGCTTGGGATATCGCGGTGAAGAACTACATTGCTAATTTCCATCTCACCGAAGAATATCGTCGCTTCGGAATTTATTGGAGCAGGGTGGCATACCAAGATCCAAGCGAGATTCCCTCCTTGCTGAGATCGAAGCTTTGAAGAAAGAAGTATATGAATCTCAGTGCGAGGTGGCAGCCCTAACGAAGAAGGTGGAATTGTCTGATAACCACCAGAAGGTCGCTGCCGAGGCCCTGGAAAAAG